TATATATATTTTGGGTTTCAGTGATACTGCCTTAAATTCTGTGTAAATTTTCCTTGTCCAGAGCATTTCTGAGCAGGTTCTGTTGAAGGCATTTTGTTTTGATTCATGCTCATGTAGCTACCTTTACCTGCACTATAAGCTTGAACAAGAGTACTTCTCCCTCAGGGGTGCCCTTTACAGTGCAACACTTCCCCCCCAGCAACCGCAACCAGGCTTTTCACATACAAGCGAAGTTAATGTGTGTGAGGTCTCTCTTTCTATCTAATCTAGTAGATTAGATAGAAAGAATGTGAAAGCAAGAAAACAAATCAGAGAGAAGAAGAGAGCTGTGGTGTGATTTTCTTTGCTTAGAGTTAGGAGGAGAAATAATTTAAAATCCAAAAATGAGGAAGCAGGGGAAGCAGAAGAAAGTCATTGAAAGTATCTGTTAATAACAGACACACTGAGAGAGAGACAGAAATGGAGAGGGAGTCCGGCCAAATGACAGAGGCGTGTTTGTATTCTGATTAGACTGAGCCAAATGGAGGTGGCTACACCAGTGGAGATAACAACAAAGACATCTCTTCACTCGGCACAAAGCTATGAACATCTTTTCACGGTCAATCGGAGGAGGCATTCTTTTGTTTTGATAAAATAAATAAATAAATCAAATCGGGGGGGTGTGTGGGGGGGGTGAGGAGAATCAGTCTTGCTGGAGCCATAAATGCCACACAAAGAAGACTGTTCATCTCATCTTAAATGAAGGAGATGATCACATGCCTATTGGTTCTGCATTCTGTGAGCATGTTCCATATGCTTAAGTGAGGGACTTTTTTAAACTATGTTATAATTAGGTTCTTATGAACTTGGATTTTGAATGTCTATTCACTCTCACCGTTGCTGCCAAAATGTGATGCACTCAAGCTGAATAAACAATGATCTGGCCTCTTTGGGTTAAGACAGGCTTCCTGGCGTGGGTGTGCCTGAACCCTTTTAGGTTTCTCATCTTTGGCGACAGTAAATAGATCATACCCATGGCAGGGCTGATCAGAGAGGCTGGGATACAGCCAGGGTTGCCAGGCAAGGGAAAACTTCAACAGCAATAGATTCTCTGATGAGGTAACTGTATCACACAGAGAGTAAGGACTAAGGGCTATCTGTGTAGTCTTCTTTCCATCTGACTCATCCATGCATGCACATGAACATCCACTAAACTCTGGCTGCCAGAGGCATAAGGGGAAACACAACCATCCTTGAGAAACAAATTAAAAGCATCCGATGGTTGGAAATATTCCCTCCTCTGTGTTGGTTGAACCAGAAAGCAAAGCCTGTTGTTATTTTTCTGTAAATTAAAAATATAAATGCTTCACAGCATGAAATTCCCAGACACTAAATTAAAACGCAGAGTAAGAGAAACAGGAAGATGTAGTGAGAGATTATAACTTAGAGAAAGAAACAGGAGTTGTCTAAAAAGTATGAAAAGAGAGATTTGTTAATCTACCTGGTCATACTGGTGATTGTGCTTTTGTTCATTTCTCTTTGGACTCATGCTTCTTGCCTTGTCTTGCCCTCTCAAACAGGAGTTTCTGGTTTTGAGTAAGATTTGTGCAATGACGCCAGTGGCTTTGCTGTCAGGCTTATCTTATGGAATATTACACCAGGCTGACCTCACTGTCCAAAAAAAAAAAAAGCTGATCGTGTTACCCCAGCTCAGATTACATCATCTTTAAGCCCCGCACAATCAACCACCATCCCCTTGTTTAAGATGTATAATGCCTGTACACAGATTGAACCCTCTAATCACAGGACGGCAGTCTGTCAAACTGGTAATTTTGAGAATATGAACAAAGCAGAACAATACGACTTGGTAGTAGGCAAACTGAGTCGTGGTCTGGAAATTCCTGACAGAGTGTTTATGTTCTGGAAGAGCTGTGGTGAAAGTGGACAACACTAATGTTATAATGACTGTGACAATAGGAGTTCTGTGTCTGTAAAACAATTTGTATGGCGAGGGCCAAGATTTTTTTTTATATTCTAAATAATCCTGAATGACCTTGAAAACAAGCTCTACTCAGAATGTGAGATAATGACGCCCTCTCCAAGTGACCCATGTTGAGTCTGTAAGAGGTCATTGCACAGTGGAGCTATCGAGGACAGTGGAAAGGGGAGCCAGACAGTGTGGCTCAGATATAACGAAAGGAAAGAGAAAGGGAATGTCAGAAATCAAGAAGTGACAGAAAACAAGGGAGATGGAGAAGAGGTTGTGTTTTTTGTTTCTCTCTGTGGATTATGCTGCCCTAATGAACCCAGCTACCAAAAGTCAGCCACAGGGCAACTAGGGCTTCTCCTGTTTTTATTATATGAAGACAGATAGTTCCCCTCAGACCTCACTTCAACTTTAAGGATAGTTATGTGCCCCATGTGGCTACATCTCCATTCACAGCCTCGTTCACCCTATGCAGCCTCGTTCCAGGTTTTCTCGACCACTTAAACCCATTTCTCCCATAAGCATTAAACCTTTAAGAACTGTTGCTTTAACTTAAATTTTGTCTAATGTCTACTGCGCACCAGTAAAGCAGTTTCTGACTCCTTTGAACAAATTGCAAATTCTTGGTTGATATGATGATGTTCAATTGTTTCCTGTACACACAGGTTGTGTTGTTTAAAATGAAATAAATTGCAACAATTTGTGAGGAGGAGGAGCTTGCTCAGATAAACTTTTATGAGGACAGCAGCCTCCTGTGAAAAAGGAAGACGAGTAAGGATGTGTGCAAGGAGAAGACAACAGAGCACAGAAAGATGCAGAAGAGTACAAAGTATAGTTATGGCATACACAGTTAATCTCTCAATTATACCTTTCTGTTCCTATGGAAATTAATGCAGCCGTTTTTATTATTTTTTCTGTAATATTATTCACAGATAGTCAAAATGTTTTTAAATAGAAATTGGAGTAAAAATAGAAGTTGGATAATCCTAGCTGACCTGGGATGAAACTGAAGCACCCTGTCTAGACGTCAGCATGACTTTGAGTAGCATCCCACGGCTCTGTCTCTTTCCCTTTCTCTTTGCCTTTTTGCACTTCCCTTCTCTTCCTGTCTGCCCTCATTTTCACAGCTTGGTTCTCACAAATTTCTGCCCTTTGCATCTATCTTTTCTTTTTGATCTTTGACTCTCTGTTTTCTTATTACTGTCGGTTTCAGGCTTAGGTGTGGTTATTTGGTGGTGATGATGACAGTGAAAGCTGGATGTGGTAAAATGCCCATGCAGACAGATTGAAAAGAATGTATCCCACTAACATGCCAAAGATAACTACTGAGGTTCTCCTTCTTTCATTCAGCTGTTTGTACTCATATATTTTCTGTCCGAAAATGCAAGTGGTTGACTGCTAAGTACACATCAAGGCTGCATAAGGGCAGAGCCAGAGTATGTTTACAGGCTCAGAAATTGTGACAGGGTTACAATTAAGGGAAGACCTAACCACATTGCATTACCCTCATTATATTGCAATGACATTCTCAATTGTGAAACAAAGGTACAAAACAATGGTTTAATAAGACCTCTTGTTTAATGAGACTTTGCTTTAACTCTTGTGTTCATTCAGTTAGTAAATAGGTCTTCCATTCAGGTCTAGGCACCCTAATTCTCATTTTCCCAAGTGCGACACACACCACCCCCTGCCATTAGCCTTCGGTGTCCCACATTGGGTCTTGGCATCCCCCTGAACATTCAGAACATACAGACTCCTCCCCCAACCTCCTCAGATTCCCTATTCCCCTTCCCCTCCAACCCCTGTACACACACCCATTTGATTGTGATTGACAGTGTCTTTGTTCCATTGTGCAGAGCTGTCGCCTCTGATGAAGACACATACACAGAGCCGAGGCACTGCACTCATTGTACACTGTGCAGAAATTACAGGTCTGCAACCAGTTGCACTGTCCGTGCATTCAGACTAGGTGTGCGTAAACAGCTTTGTGCATGGAAGGTCATAGCAAAATGTGATAGGGCAGAGTGCGTAGGAAGAATGGCTAGACTGCTTTGGCCATACTGCAGGCCTCATCCACTGTGGACCAGGACCAGGGGGTCCAGGCCTGATAGGCTAAGAGGGCCAGCTGGAGAGGGAGGCTCGGGGCTGCGCAAAATGTGTCTGAGGTTGTCAATAGTTTTCACCCCTCCTCAGGGATGGGAACCAGGTCACATTCTCTCACACGGCACAAAGCCGGGTGTGTGTGTGAGAGGGTTGGAGGTTCAAGGGAGGGGTTTTGATGGGGAGCAGGCCATGACCTCTTTATATCCATCAACAGATCACTATCTTGGCCCATAGACATGGTCTTATAACACATTCACATGCATGCAAACACATGCTAATTTTTGTGCATGAGCACAGACAATTTGTCTCACTGACAAAAATTTAAGTGTGTGCTCAAAAATTGGCCTTATGCAGGAGTTTTTGTTTTGACCTGTGTATGAAATTAAAAAATGATTTTTGAACACATTCTCTTATTATATTTTTTTCAACCAGTATTTTCAAAATATCCATAGGGTTTAACCTTGATACATTTATTACTAATAGATAAATTGTTACAAATATAGCTAGTGAAAAATAAGTGTAATGGCCAGTTTCTCAAACTAATTTAATTAAATATTGTCCTACTTGTCTGTCTCAAGTAGATACCAGTTCCTGGACAACTTCAGCTGCTTCTCAGCAGTAGGAAAACACAGGTGAAGTAAATTTCACTGCACCAGATGTCTCAGTAAACCATACTGGTGAGCCAGAAAGCACAATGTCAGGACCCCAGAACTACTTCAGGCAAATGGAATATTTTGTTGAAAACTGTGCTTTTGTGTGAATAATACTGTAAAAATCAGTGCATGTCCCGTGTAATCCACAGGTTCGGAATCAGGGTAAAACAGTGAAATGCCGCCCCCTTGTGGTGTCGACTGAGTCTGTCAGACAGAGAGCTTTCAAAGTCAAAGTGGTCACGTTTTTTGTTATTTGTGTTCTTAAAAAAACATTCAGAGTAAATCAGAATTCACTTTATTTTTTCCATTAATTTGCTTGGTAAAAGTATCTGATCCAGCCCTTTGTAAAACCCAAACCAAAACAAACAAACATTCAGTTTATCAAAGATTAGAAATATGATTCAACAGCAGTTATGACCATGAGAACATTATATTAAGGTGAACATAAAATTAAGGGCACTGAAGAACAAAAGATGAAATATTTATATATATATTTATCATATATTCTGACTCTGTCTTATATGTCATTACTCTGATGAGTAATGAAACAATACCTAGGTTGCAACTTATGGTATTGTGATTGTGATATTTATTATAATTTTATGGTTTCTCTCATCATCTTAATTTATTTCTTGTGCTTTGACATCTGTCCATGTGTTTCAATCTTAAGTTCCATCTTTACGTTTTCATTTAACAACATATATATCCAACAACTTACAAAGCAGCTGTTCAGTTCTTGTCATACTACCCAGACTCTGGCATGAGTTCCTCGTCATATTATATATACAATAATCCAATGTGTGTGTTGTTTGTATGTCTGTGTTGTGGTGTATGCATGTTTCTGTGTCAGTACATGAGGTCACCCTATATATAACATTTCTGTGACAAACTTGTGCAGCTGTGCATGTTGTCTTGAGAAGCTTATTGTGGCTCTGTCTTTAAACTAAAAGGTGGCTCTTCTCTCCAGGTTACTTGCTCTAGTCTAGTCTGTTCAGGAAACCTCCGTTCAACAAACTGGGAGGTTAAAGTTAAGTGACAGAATTACACACTCCATCTTCAGTTAGGTGAGATGGTGCGTCTACGCAGGCAGCTGCACGTCAAACACTTGAGGATGCTCATGGTGATGTGCATGAGAGGGCCGAAATTGAAGAGTAGATTGTAGAATGTGTTTACAGACAGGCCTCCAGTCTCATCGGCATATTTCAGGGCCACAATGGGTGTGTAGAGGCTGTTGGTCAGATTCCTGAAGCGTGGGTTGTTTGACTCAATAACCTTTTTAGTGCACTGGAAAAGATAAGAAGCAACAGAACATTTTAACGGCTGCACGCAGAACATCAACACAAATTCCTGAACTGGGTTCAGTGTAGGAGTTAGAAACCAATTCTTTTACCTTAGCTATGTCATCTGGTGTTTGGCCCATGGCCTCAAATATATCTATTGATGATGGGAGGTAAACGTCTTTAAAATAACGAACTGTGTCAGCATCCGCACCCGGATACTCCATCTTAGCCACATCCTCCATCATTTTCGTTTCAAATTCAGTGTGCACTGGGCCAGGCTCAATCATGGACAACCTGGGGTAAGTTAGATACAGTGTGATCAGTGGGGATGGTATTTTCAGTAGAAAATAAAGACACATGTGAAGGAAGACTAGCGGAAAGAGGGTAATCTACCTGATATTGAACTTCATCAGTTGCACAGCCAAACTCTCACAGAAGCCCTCCATTGCAAACTTAGAAGCAGTGTAAACATCGTTGAATACCACACCTGATTAAAGAACAACAAGAGGAGATAAAGAAGCTCAATGCACCGTAGAATGAGATTTCAAAGTACTCAATCAAGAATAGAAATCACTCACTTGATTTACAGATAAAGGACTAGGGTTAAAAAAAAGTAGCAGGCAGGACAACACAAGTGTCAGACATTATGCAAGCTAATTCAGCAGTTTATCAGAAAGCGTCCAACCTGCTTTGCTGGAGTCCACCATTATGCTACTTCAAACAAGTTAAAACAAACACTAAAAATTCTTTGCAAGAACTTGCAGTTTGACTCAAATTACTGTAAGTTGTCAGAGCTTTACTGGAAATGTGAAACAGAGACCAACGAATAATAATATTAATATAATAAGGAATTTTAAAAAATCATTTAAATTACCTAACAGTTTCATCTACGAAATCTACAGATATAACTTCAAACCATAAAGATAAAATTGCTGTTAACTTTCCTTTTGGATAAAACAATGTCAGCTTATACCAAGCTAAAATTTTGGAACACGTGCAGAGTGTTTTGCAAGTCATTATGAGTGATTATGGAGACTGTTGACTGTTTAATCGTCAAAATGTATATTCAATATGTTCTCTTTTGATATGCAGGAATCCAGTAAGCCTTATACCAACCAAAGTTGCCAGATTTAGAACCTACATGTAGCTTAATAGATTACAATAAACGGTCTATTACATGGTTTATTGTAATTTGTCATTCTCAAAATGTTTTTGACGTTCAGTTAGAATAGCACTACAAATTTTCTTATGCATAACTAATTATACTCATACCCTGAAGACCCATGACGCTGCTCATGACGATAATGTGCCCTGAACGCCTCTTCTTCATGTCTGGCATCACTTCTTTGATCATACGAACCACTCCAAAGAAGTTGGTCTCAAATACTTTTTTCATCTCCTCAATGCTGATGCTTTCCACAGGTCCAAGCAAGCCCACACCTGCATTGTTGACTGGCAGGAAACAGACACACAGATAATGCATTGTCCATAAATGCAATGATCAAAAAACAAAAACAAACAGAAATAGAGCAATATTTGACTTTATTACTTCATTAGACCATTTGTTAGTTAGTTGTTGGTTTTATGTCTGTGAAGGTTCTCAGTCATCCAGGTCATCGTAGTCAAAGGAGCTTGTAAAGAAAAGCGTCTGGACTTCTTTAAGTTGCTTGAAGACGTTTCACCTCTCATCCGAGAAGCTTCTTCAGTTCTAAGGTCAAATGGCAGAGAGTCCCAGATTGACCTTAGAACTGAAGAAGCTTCTCGGATGAGAGGTGAAACGTCTTCAAGCAACTTAAAGAAGTCCAGACGCTTTTCTTTACAAGCTCCTTTGATAAAGCTGGTTTTACTTGATACTGCCACCAGATGTCAGTATGTGACAACAACATGAAGGTCTGACGTAACACCAGGCTGAAGAGCCTTTGGGTCTTGAGTAATTAGGCGAAAGGGGATTTAATGCTGGATTTAGACTAAGATGGAGACAGGTTTATAAATAGATACTTTATCCAGGCTAAAGGTTTAAGGACCATAAGCGAAAAGCGTTACGTATTCAGAAGATCTGGTAAAATGGACTTTACTGCACTATAAAATTACTTGATAAATTCTGGATCACACATTGTGAGATTTTAGTTGTGAGGATTACTATTCAGAAAAATAAAGTATTGCAGCTGCACAGTGCTGTAAGCTTAGCTTCAGCTATCTTTCTCTCGGGTTATTAATGTGGTAGCCCATTCAGTTTTGGTCCATAATCTTTCTGACCACTGGAATTTTAAGACTCAGACTCCTCCCTCCACATACTCTAAGTGTCAACTGCGCAGTGCAACTACTGTTTAAAATATTTGTTTCACAAATAATCAAAGCCTTTGTCCTGAACTGTTGTTATAACTTTAGCAATAGCACAGGGCTTTACTTTTTATAAATGCATGTATATTATTATCATTCCCACTGCACTTTATGTTCATATTGTAACCATCTGTACATATTATAGTGTTTTTGCATACATCTCTAATTCTTGAGCTGCTGTAAACAGTTGAATTTCCCCAGTGTGTGATTAAATAAAATCTATGTCTATGATATTATAAATAGCATAGACTTTCTATTGAATACGCAAAACTATAAAATGAAGCAGAACGATAGTGTTCCATCATATGTTAAAAAAATAATTCTGTGTATAAACTCTTGTAAAACACATAATAAAAAAACAAACATACACTTATCCAAGGACAGAGAATCGATCATCATGACCTGCTTTTTAAAGAGATATACACTTTGTGTCCCACTCACTCAGAATATCAATATGGCGGTCCTTAACGTTATTGACGCACTGCCTGACGGACTCATCGCTACACACATCTAATGGAAGCAACGTCAAGGTCTTTCCATATACGTCTCCAGCTGCCTCCACCAACTTGTCCTTCTTCTTCAGGTCCCGCATCGTGGCAATGACTGATAGGGAGACACAGAGAACTGTATGGAGATAATGTGGCTTCAGACTTTGCAAAAATAGATATGATAGCGGAAAAGTGTCATGTAACACAACTTGAAGAGGCAAAGAAATGTTTAGGAATGTGAGGAGCACTTAAAATTATCAGTACTGGAATAGTTTATTATTTTAAGATATTAATGCCTTTACACATTTTTCTGACTATCACTGTTGCATTTAATATGAAAGTATTAATGCAATCATTATATTTTTAATGCTGAGGAAGTGACAGAGGACTCAAGTGACGTTACTAAATTAACTTTTTTTCTTGGACAAACACACCAGTGTAAAAACAAACAAGCACCCACACATGCTCAGATAGTGACACTCAGACGTGTGGGTCAGAGTTCCTGGAAAAGACCACGCCTGTTAGTTTACAGGGGACAGAATTGATTTCCTCTGAACTTTACCCGCTGGGGAACATTAACCTACATAAAGCGGAGGAATCTACCATGACCAACAACAATGAATATAAGCGCCGCTGACTTGGCTTCCACAGCTTCTTCCTTTTTGTGTGCTCTGCTTACACTTGGCAGACTGGCGTTATGTAACTGAGAAAACAGAGGCACTGGTGTTGCACAATGGCAATAGGCAGGAATAAACAACCTCTTATTCAAATTTTCACCTAAGTCTACCTGTTGTCATTGGCAGACAAAAGCAAATCCTCACCTTATTCTCATGTGAACAGAGATGAGGTTGGATAAGTAATCAGATTTGGACCACTTTGCTGTGGAGGCTTGGACTGCTGTGCAGTGTTACTGATGCAACATGATGTATAACAATGTCTATCTATCTGTCTGTCTGTGTGTCTGTCATATATGCTCTACGCATAAACAACATCTTATGAAGAGTAATTGGGTCTACTTGAGACCAGGGTGTCCAGGAAGGGTTTCAAGGAAGCAACAGAAAGCTTTGCGTTTTGATTGAGACATGAACAAGAGGTCTATTGTTCTAAATGCTCCTGAAGGAATTACAACTGGGCAGCTTAACTATTCTTGAATGAACCACACTGCAAACACAGGGGTATTTTAAGGCCGCCTCTGAATTTCATCCATGTCACTGCAACTAATTCCTACTTTATGCACAACGCAATATTTAATCTCGGCTGGATTTCCTAAGGAATAGAGCAGATCAATGCAATCGCCAAGATGTGGCCTTATTGAAAGCAGGTCACACTGTTCAAACCAAACGAGTGTTGGGAGGGAGGGAGGTTTTGTTTTCCTCATCTATTTCGCAGTAATAAATCCCATCATATCCCAGTGGCCCCTAACAAGAGACAGAGAAAAAAACAAAACAAAATAAAAAAACAAGGTTTACTGAACCCTGTCCAGTTGTTCATACCATGTTAATAATGACAATTCTAACTGTCCATAACCTGTCAAAGTAAGAAAGGGCTGACTGTAGCTTTATGGCAAATTATACAGTTTAGAGTCATAGCTAAAAACAAAATCTGGTCACAAGGCTCTTGGTACAAACCCCTCTAACATAATTCTGTCTGAGGCTCCACAGATTGACACAGGAGGATTTTTTTATTCAGTTCTAATTCCTCCAGTGACATTAATAATAGCTGGGAAGCAGGAGAGGACCAACAGTGTCAAAGTGTGAAACCTTAACTCCACTGCCTACCAATGAAGACTTCAAACAAGGCCCTTGCTTTAGAGTGAACCCTCGCTTGTACAGGTCTCAAACTTTGTCCCCCTTTCAACACTCGCTCCAGTGAGGGGACTATGGGCACATTAGACACGGCACTAAACCGGAGCAGGCGGTCTACAATTCACTGCAATAAAAGGGGGCTTTGTGCTGGAGAAGTCACTTGAAAGAGAACTGACAAGACCTCTTTTATGAATCCTGCCTGGCAAGCGGCATCCTTGCAGAGCCCTACCCTGGAAACTGCGCTTTCAGATGATAATAGTCGAGTCAAAGGGGCGACTGAATCCCAGTGCTTACAAAGGGATATGGATCCGATATTACAGGGGTTAGCATTTTAATTTAACCCACGCTAGATCACGTATGAGCGTTTAGACGGAGCGTTGCGCATGAAACTTGATCAAACTTTATGCGTAAAGGAAGCTTGCAGCGTGTTGCAGGGAAAAATAAGCACGAAATTGTATTTCAAGCGAACCACAATATTGCAGGCTTGTTACAAACAGGTCCGATCAAACAAACAATGTAGAAGAAAGCGCATTTACCATGGTAACGACTCTTTTCATCTTTGGCCAGGATGACGGCAATTCGTAACCCGATGCCGGAGGAGCAGCCGGTGATCAGCACAACTTTCTGCCCACTGTTCGCCATGATTTGTCCGTATACGCGCAGTGTTTTTCAGGGGTCTTCTGCTCCAGATGGTCCCAGCCGAGGGAGCTACCGATAACCGAACTTTAAAAAACTAAAGCCGATCATGCAGCCACAGCAGCCATGTGAGCGCCTAATTCAGTCACATGTTTCATAAAAATCAGTAAACACACCCCCCCCCCCCCCTCAAAAAAAGACGTGATACCGCAAACACCCCTTGCAGTTACTTGATAGGTGCCGACTGCCCTAGAAAAAGTAGCCTAGTTAATTTCCTTAAAAATGTGTGGACGTGCACGCGCGTGCGTGGAGGGGGCAGTGCTTATTTGATTTCTGAGTTGGTGACCCCAGCAACTGTAACAGTAATCATGGAGTTAATCGTCACAATGCTCCAGATAAAACCTTGATCAGGGCTTTTTCAATAAGTTGCCTATCCTATGATTCAACACTGTAATACGTTAATTTAATTAGAATCTACTTAGCATAAACTAAAAATAAGCTAAAGCACACTATTTAAACGGGCTTTTAAAATAACAGGTCCACATATAGCTTCACACACAGACACACGGAGAAATACACACACATATACTCTCCAGCTTTAGGTTATTTATAAAACATTCCAACCTTTGCTGAAATTTAGTTTGAAAGGTATTTACTTAATGCTCTGCGTTCCACTGACACCTAGTGGTAAGGTAGGCGCAGAGCACTGAAATAGCACCGAGGCTTTCTGAACTCATCGTGCCCGCACAAAATAACATAAACAATGTTAACTGCGATATTGTTGTCCATTCAGGTAATAAGGCTATTAAAAACATAGGAAGAATATTCAGAGTTTGTTTTTCAGCAGTGCTGTTACCGAATGGCTGTTATGTTGACCAGTGGACTCTGTTCTTGGCTCATGTTGTGAGGGGTCAAAGGTGCTCTGATAAGACCTCAAATGAAACTTGCTTCTTTTTTCTGATGAAATACTGTAGTGCAGTACTCAGCGTCTGTCATGTTTGGGCCTGTTGCTAAATGTGATGCAAGCACGTGCAAACTGTTACACTGAAAAAGGAATGATTCTCACACAATGGTAGAAGAGTAAACATTTATGCTTTTTGATCAAAGTTTTGACTGGTTGTTCAGGAAGATGGTATATGATTGGGGAAGAGTGCACACATAAAATTAGTGAATTAGTGTTTGTAATACGTCTGTTCAGAGGTTAATGTCGTTTTGTTTGGTTGATTAGTTAAGGGTCATTATTTGATGTCAGCTGCATTTGTTAATGTCAAGAAAGATTTGTCAGCTGTGATAGTCAGAAGAAGAGATGCTGAGAAATGGTCATTTGGTGTCATTCTGTGCTGCTTTATATGGTATGACATATATGGTGGATGCTTCTAGCCCTTGCTCTAAAGAGTAATCTAAGGTAATTATCCATCCATCCATTCTCTTCTGCTTATCCATACCAGGATCACGGGGGCTGGAGCCTATTTTAAAGTGACTAATAAGTGAATAAGCTATTGAAAGTAATCAGTATTTCACATACTTCCACTTACAATTCTTATGGTTACATTTCCCTTTTACAAAAGTCTTTGCATTTATTTAACTACTATGTGGACCTGGATGGTGTAAACTTGTAGCTGCCTGTAGCTGCTTGTTTCCCCAGTATTGCTGGTTCAGCTAAGAAATAGAATTAGCATTTTTCCATTGACAACAATTATTAAATACATGAAAACATGACATTAGGGATTGCTACTGTATTTAAATAAATCAAACAAGAACCTTAATTCAACATGATAATTAAGGGCTTTTGGCACCTATTGGCACTCAGTAGCATTTTTTTTTGGTTTAGTCCTTACACGATTCGCACTGCTGAAATAGAACAATTTACCCATTTTTACACAATTTTACACTTTTTTGGCAAATCCTGTCAAAGTTAATCTGACTGATTCAAAAGCAGGTGTGAAGTGCCATGTTTTCTTTTAGCTCCCTGTTCCCACTGCTGCAAAGCACACCACAGCTTGATGTTTTCACCACCACACTTCAACAACAGATGATATTAGACAATGATGTGCAGTGCCTGGTTTTAAGCAAATGTAATGTTTTGAGGTCTGCCCAGATCAACATTTCACTCACTGGACAAAAGAAATGTCATCTGTGTCATCTGTCAAATGCTTTCAAATGCTATTTTGGAAATATATCTTGAGGCCTTCTGCTCAGGGACTGTTCAACCGTAAAGGCCAGACTGGTTAAATTCAGCTAACCTTGTTGAGGTGCTGGCATGTTCTTCCAGGTCCTGAAGCTCTTTGAGAGTGATTTTTGCGTTCTTGGTCACCTCCCAGTTTGCCCTTTTACTCAATACAGCAGGACAACTAGTAGCTTCAAACCTCATCCATTACTGAGGCTACTGCGCTACAAATAATACTTAAGAAATGCTTCTGAATTCCTGGTTTTATTTGCTTTACCCTGATCTATTCGTTTCTTTCTAAATTATTTAGTTTGAAACAGGTGGGCTCCAGTAAAGCTGTATATACATCATGAGGATATTTAAAGCAAACAGGATGCACCCAACTACAGACCAGAGTGCCACAGCAAAAAGTATAAAAACATCTACATATGAGAGATTTTCTTTTTTTTCTCTTTAATAAATTTCTAATCCTTTCTATAAACAAAATTGCACTATTATCATGAGTTCATAAGAGTACATTGGGAAAATGCCAATTATATTCATTTAAAATGATAGTGGAAGGGGTCTGAATGCTTTCTGTGACTGTTCTATTCAAAATTAGAACACACAGTACAAAAGTGATTGTCATAGACTTCTAGTCATCACTGCTTGTGATAAAGACCATATTTTGCTGACAACACAGAGCAGACTTTCAGCCTACACTGATTGAGACCCAGTTTTTTTCTTGCTGTCTCACAAAGCTAATGACAGCTTATTTAAAACCTAATTGTCACAGTGAAAACAGAAATTAAAATTAGATCATTAAAGTAACAGAATTTGCATTGTCAGATAAACCAGACTTTTACAACAGCAGGTGTTTCAGTGTAAATTAAGGTTATATACTTGGTTATACTCGATCATTTGGCTTACTGATATTTAAGTGCCAGAACAGATCAGTAAAACCATAAGCAACCAAAAGTAGTAATATATGAAAAAAAAAAGCCTATATATTATTCATGGTTCTGCAAAATAAGAAAAAAACTGTGCAATTATTAGCAACAAATTAATGACCTTTTATATTATTTATGGCCCATTGAGGCCTGAGCATATATATAATATATAAAATTGAATAAAACATCACTCAGACCTTAGGAGAAACTAGTCTTAAAGCAAGAGTCGTCTTCACAAAAATAAGTCACCACATAGGCTACTCATTAAAATACATGGACTTTCCAAAATGCATTATTTTTATGTTACAAATCAAATTCAGTGAAGCATATATATGGTTCCTTGTCTGTTTATGATATATATAAATGTGTATATTAAAACTACCTGCAGAAACTACAGGAAAATAAATACATATAAGTTTAAAGGAACATTTATTTATGAACATTTTCCTTGATTCACTCTCATAAATATAACACACAGATCAAAATGCAAAGTACAAAAACATTTATACTTTTCTTTAAAGCTTTAAGTTAGTTCACTGAACTGAGCACACACATATAGTCTAATACAGGCTGAGCTATTCTATGACATAGCACTTGATGGGATGGCTTCCATAAAAGAGCCAGGTAGACAGCTGCAAAAGAAAATTAAGTGGATTTTTGGGTCAGTGTCCAGCCAAATTTAAAAGAAAACAGTGAAGTGTAGATCTTCTTACAACCAAAATATATTAAGATCGAAATTGTAAATACATAACAAGAACTAAAAAATAGCATTATAACTACTGGTGGTACCCCTTATTGTCTTTTTTATACATAATTAAATCAAGGTGAAATTAGTTACAAATAGTGAATTATAATAGTGAAGTGATAAGACCTAAAGAAAAATAAACACCAATATATGCAAAATAATTAGGATTTCTTTTTAATTAAACAGATGATAAAGTCAAAAAACATACAAAATCCCCTAATTTCCTTCGGGATTAAGAAAGTATTCTGATTCTGATTCTGATAACATACTCCACTATTTCTTGCTTGAAAATATCTATAAATAGGTTACATTTTGCATTGGATCCCTGCATAGTGATACACGAAGTTGTGGCAACATTTAATACACTATTGACTACTACGTTCTACATTCACAATATCTTTTTTGTTCTTTTATTTTTTACAAAAAAACATTGCCTTCTTGATACATCTGCTGCACATCTAAAAACTCTACCATCAGTTGTGCTAGTTTTAGGTCAACGATTGAATTTTTCTGCCACAAATTTCCTTAATTTATATAAATTGCTTTCCTTTATATAAATCCAACACAAACAACACCTATCTCAACATTAACTATATGATGCATGGGTTTCATCAAGTTACCACAGTTTGATAATAGGTAGGGGTATTGGGAGTAAAACCCAAATTCTTGCCCATTATTGATGGTTGGATGCAAGAAAACAAACATGGTTCCTGACCAATTAAACTGCCATTAAAGGTGGTTGTTAGGGGGGGAAAGTGTCCCGCATCTGTTAAAATCATTTGTCTATATTTTTTATTTGTTATTTTTCTTATGGAGTCAGTTGTGCTCCTCTGAGAGAGCCCAGATGATCATCTGCCACTGGATACAAGAAGAACTGTACAAGAAAAATTAATGTAAATGTAAATTGCTGGAGTAATGCCTGGACATTCCTCGCATGCTTTTTCTTGTGCCTCTGGACAAAATGGGCAGGTGTAGATGCAGAAAAGGAGGTGTACTGGACAGTCAGTGATGTCCGTCAGCCTCTGAGCTATTTGTGTGGAATGTCAGAGGACTGAGGTGCTAAGACAAAGAAGGAATTAGGAGAGACAAAGGGGAAGGTATAATGCAAGCCCATGCGTGCGTTTCCATGCCATAGGCTTTCTCTGCTTTAAATGCCTTGTTGTAAACCCTCCTCCTCATTTAACCTCAAATGTTCTCCTCTCCACCTTCTCTTCTGCACATCTATACTTGTATGCCTGCAGCATCAAATCCTCATTTCAAGCAGAATGGTTTTCATTATACTTGCTGAGAACCTTTCACCTCACTCAGACACCTCTGAGCACAGCTGTGCCCTAAAGACCCAAATCATCTCTAACCTCATTGCCAAAGTCCAAGTCATGAAAATGGCACTCCTATTCCCTCTAACCCTAACTTTTATAGCTTAATAGTCAATTTCCTGTATACAGACTTTA